TTTTACTACCAAAGTTTGGTAGCTGAAACTATCAAGGCTTTAGTTACCAAATTTAGTAGCAAAAAACAACACAATCCGCTACCAAATATAATTTGGTAACAAATAACATGACGGGAAATGAAATTTGGTTCCGGCCAATAGTTTTTTGCTACCAAAACAATATTTGGTAACAAAAGCATAAGATTCTGCCACCAAAATTTAGTAGCAAAATATTACTTTTTTCCTACCAAACATGTTTTGGTAACAAAATGTTGGCGGGAAATAAAATTTTTTCCCGTCCAAGGTATTTGCTATCGAATTATTTTTGGTAGCAAAACAAATAACATTTGCTACCAAGTGTTGGAAGCAAAATATAACTATCTGCCACCAAAATTTGATAGCAAAAATTCAAGCTTTTACTACCTAAAAATATAATTTTTTACTACCAAATTTTAGTAGCAGCAAACAAAATTTTGCTACTAAATTCATATTTTGGTTGCAAAAAGATGTTTTTTGCTACCAAAAGTTGTGTTTGGTAGCAAATCATATAAAAACTTAAAAATTTATATTTTGTGCTTGTATTGTTTTTTTTTTCAATTTTCTATGAATATGTCTTATATTAAGTTTTAACAATCATCCTAGTATATTTTGTATAACAATTATTTGATAATTTAGTTATTTTGTGTAGGTGTAACAAGATATATGTTCATGTGTACATATATGTGATCTTCTTAATTAAGTTTATGTTCACATAGAGTAGTATATAATCTCGCTATTTGATTGATTTTTAACTTTGAATAATGTATTTCAATTTCAAAACTACATTTTTTTTGTTATAATGTTATTAGAACAATGATTCTAAAATAATTTTTGACATTAAAATGTTATTTTTTTAATTTTTAATATACGTCTTTCTGGTACCAAATTCATATTTGGTAGCAAAAAATATACTTTCAGCTACCAAAACAATGTTTGGTAACAAAAAACATCTGGTACTAAATTTTGGTAGCAGAAAATATGATTCTGCTACCAAATTCAAATTCTTATTCTGCTACCGAATCAATACATTTAATCAGATGATTGAGAGTGGATGTGCACCAATTGCTTTGGCGATGATCAATGGCAGGTAAAATGAACAACATAACTGTATTATGAGACATTTGTTTGAGAATGTGGTTTTAGATATGCAAATTGAACCAATATGTGTGGTTTTGGATTTTCTGGGTTAATTGAAATTGTAGGGGAGATGATGTCAAAATTTCTATTATATTTTAAATGTCTCTTTTTTCATTTATACAGAAAAAAGTACAGGTTGCTGCGGAAAATCATTCCAAAAAGCCAGCAGGTTATTTGGGTGACTTAAGATCTATAGTTTAACATTTGGAGGAGGTTCATGTAATTAACTTTCACTCACTTAAGTATATTACCATTTGAAATCATAATTTCTTTTTTCTTTTTAACTAACTAACAAATAATAATTTCTATGTATAACACACATTCGAGTTCTGACTTAAATGCTTCGGGATGGTACTTTAAGGTCTTCAAGAATACTCATTGGAGCGAATCACGGGGATGGACAACTGAGAGAGCAAAGGAAGATTATGTAAGAATTACTAAACACTTTATCATTTCGTTTGATTTTGTATTTTTTTTACTCTAACTTGAAAGTTTATAACACTTCACCTAATGCAGGAACAAATGATCAAGATCCGCGATGCTCATTTAAGTGAAGTACCAAAGGGGTCAGAACTTGACTCTGATGCAGAGGAAGAAATTTACACTCAAGTTTTGTCAAGTGAGAGGTATGAAAAATATGGTTTCAAGCGTGTCATAGGTCCTGTACTAAGAAAAGCGCCACAAGTTCACAAATCTAGAGGGTCGGGATATGAAAATCTTGAAAATGAAGTTCAGGAAAACAAACGTCGTATGTCAGATATGATAATTCTAATAAAGCAACAATAGGAGCTTATTCAAAAGCTACTTCAACAGATAAATTCGTCATCAGATCATCCTGGACCTTCCGTCCCAAAAAAAGAAGATCTTCCGCCACCGCCACCATCGGCCTCAGTTTGTTAGAACGTTTAATTTTTATAATATTAAGATTTTACTAGTACAATATTTGTATAAGTGTTTGGGTTTGCTTAAGTATGACTATTTTTGTATTTTGTTTGGATTCTAATATGTATTGAAATATTTAGTGATTTTTAAATTAATATTTGGTATTTCATTTATATATATATTTTTTTAAAAAATACAGGTATATAAATCTGTCTCAACTTTGGTGACCAAAAAATTTGGTAGCAACAAATTAGTTATTTGCTACTAAATATGTGGTACATGATTCTTGTTCTTTTTGTTACCAAATACATTTTGCTACTAAAAATTTGGTCCTTAAATCTCATATTTTTCGCTACAAAATACATTTTGCTACCGAATATTGGTCACTAAATCTCATACATTTCGCTACCAAATACATTTTGATACCAAATATTTGGTCCCTAAATCTCATGGCTTTTGCTACCAAATACGTTTTGTTACCAAATATTTGGTGACTGAATCGCGTACTTTTTGCTACCAAATATATTTTACTACCAAAATTTTAAGGTCCTAAAACTTCACTTTTTACTACCAAAAACCTTTTGCTACCAAAATTTTTGGTCCCCAAATATCATATATTTTGCTACTAAATACATTTTGTTTCTTACCAGCAATCTATCCCGATGGCATTGGCACCAAGCTTGTCTGCTTTTTCATCATCCCCAACATGTACAGCTTTGCATGCCTCCACATTGATTTGATCTAAAACAGTAACAGAAAGCCACAAAGATGCAAAGATGGAAAATCTTCTAACTATTTAGAAGTTTACTGAAATAGATGTAGAGCATAAGTAGAACTTATAGAATAAATCAAACTTCCCACAAACTTGTCAATCAAAAAGGAGAAAATCCGCTTCCATTATGCATACCGAGAGCAGCTTCAAATATCTTTGAATGTGGCTTTTCATATCCAACCTCTGATGACAGCATCAAACCTGTAAAGAAACAATGGCTAAACTGTTGGAAGAACAAAAAAGCATGTTTTCCTTTTTCTTTCATTCCAATATATATAGTAAAGATCAATTAGAAGAAAGGGATAATGCTATACAGGTCTAGAACATTGAGGTCCTTCAATAGCGTCCGCAAGCGGGTGTCGAAATTGGATACAACAGCTACATTAACTGCATTGTTGAATGCAACGCCCGTAACGGAAAAAAAAGAGGCATCAAAAGTCCATAAACAATGGAAGAACTAAATATGTTCCCGCCAAACATGACGGAAAATGAAATTTGGTTCCCGCCAATAGTTTTTTTGCTACCAAAACAATATTTAGTAACAAAAACATAAGATTCTGCCACCAAAATTTAGTAGCAAAATATTACTTTTTTCCTACCAAACATGTTTTGGTAACAAAATGTTGACGGGAAATAAAATTTTTTCCCGTCCAAGGTATTTGCTACTGAATTATTTTGGGTAGCAAAACAAATAAGATTTGCTACTAAGTGTTGGAAACAAAATATAATTATATGCCACTAAAATTTGGTAGCGAAAAGTCAAGTTTTTGCTACCGAAAAACATAAGTTTTTACTACCAAATTTTGGTAGCAGAAAACAAAATTTTGCTACCAAATTCATATTTTGGTTGCAAAAAGATGTTTTCTGCAACCAAAAGTTGTGTTTGGTAGCAAATCATATAAAAACTTGAAAATTTATATTTTGTGCTTGTATTATTATTATTATTTTTTTCAGTTTTCTATGAATATGTGTTATATTAAGTTTTAACAATCAACCTAGTATATTTTGTATAACAATTAGTTGATAATTTAGTTATTTTTTGTAGGTGTAACAAGAGACATGTTCATGTGTACACATATGTGATCTTGTTAATTAAGTATATGTTCCACATAGAGTAGTTTATAATCTCGTTATTTGATTGATTTTTAACTTTGAATAATGTATTTCAATTTTGAAAACTACATTTTTTGTTATAATGTTATTAGAACAATGATTCTAAAATAATTTTTGACATTAAAATGCTATTTTTTTAATTTTTAATATACGTCTTTTTGGTACCAAATTCATATTTGGTAGCAAAAAATATGCTTTCAGCTACCAAAACAATGTTTGGTAACAAAAAATATAGGTTTATGGTACCAAATTTTGGTAGCAGAAAACATGATTCTGCTACCAAATTCTTATTTTGGTGACAAAAAGGCGTTTTTTGCTACCAAAAGTTGTGTTTGGTAGCAAATCATATAAAAACTTTAAATGCTTGTATTGTTTTTTTTTTTTTTTAGTTTTCTATGAATATGTCTTATATTAAGTTTTAACGATCATCCTAGTATATTTTGTATAACAATTATTTGATAATTTAGTTATTTTGTGTAGGTGTAACAAGAGACATGTTTATGTGTACATATATGTGATCTTCTTAATTAAGTTTATGTTCACATAGAGTAGTATATAATCTTGCTATTTGATTGATTTTTAATTTTGAATAATGTATTTCAATTTCAAAACTACATTTTTTTTTTTGTTATAATGTATTTCAATTTCAATTTCAATTTCAAACTTGTAATTTGAGTTCAAATTTTTTTTTAAGTTTTACTTCAAAAGAACGATGGGACCCATTATCTTAATGGTTGGAATTAGAAACCATATTTCATTTTGTTTAATTAATGACCTTTCCAGCAAATATCTTTAGCATAAACAAGACTCGGCGCCCATCAATACATGATTATATAATTATATTATTAACCTTCTATTGAACACAGATAATCCATATTAAGCACATTGCATTTCATTGCTAATCTTGAGGCTTTCTTAAAGTCATGATTTGAAAAGAGTAGTGGTAACGTCCAAGCACACTATAGCAAGGTGAGAAACAAAATGAAAGATGGTAAAGATCAGAAGTCCAAAATATTTATATATTCAACTTTTATTTTCTACGAGAAAAGCTTATTTGTGTGGGCAACAAGAAGGGAAATTAGCTAGGACCAGGCCCTCCAAACGTCATCAAATGTCCAAATTCACCTCGTATTCCCCAGTCATGGACGTTATAGGAGCCAGTGTCGTCTGCAAAAGTTTGGGTATTTTCGGCATCCTGCGGTTCATGAGCCTCATCTACAGTTGTGGCTTGCCTACAAAATGCATCTTGGCTTGTATCTCCGAATAGAAACTCGCCAGAACCCATCGGAGGACCAGGTTGACCTGGTACACTGTAAGCCTCTCCGCCCCACTCAATATATGTTGCCAAGTCTTTTAAGCCACTGAATATGTTTGGTGGCCAATACCCAACTTTGGTGTAGCTTGGTCCTACTTCAAGCCACCAACGTCCACTAACTTCCTCCTATCACCATTTAAGAAATGTTTTAAGAACAAAGGATAAACAGTTGAACGTGGAAAATATATAACTGAATTATCTCATACATTTGGGTTGTATTGATGTTAAGTGGGAAGCAACAACAACAACAACAACAAAAAAAAAAAAAAAAAAAAAAAAAAAAAAAAAAAAAAAAAGCTTATTGAAATAATTTTTGTCAAGACTATTTTTTTTTATGATTAAATGTACCTTTTAGTCACAATCTTGAAACTAACATGCATATATTAAGTCACTTATTTGTGCTTGACTAAAACTTTTTGTGATGGCCTTTTTAGTCACAGGAATTTTTTTTATGTGGCCAAAACTTTTTCCTGTAACTAATAAAAGCATTGTGATGAAATTAATGCATATTGGCCAAAGTTTGTGACTAAAAGTGACATTTTGTCACAAAAAATGTTATGACTAAACATGTCAAAGAAATTGTTGTGTCGAACCTTTTTTTTTATCATTTGCAGCGAAGGTAAATTTATCACTAGCGCATGTGCCAATTGTATAGCTGCTTATACATTAACAAAACAAAGAGACAGGAAAACAAGCTTATTATATAGTACGTTATTTACCCGGTAAACAAACAGGTTCAATTTGTATATAGGTCCACCACGTGTTGAAATTGGCATAACAATGATATCAAGAGGCAAGTGAGTATTAACAATAACAAATCCTGGGCACCGTGTGTTAAAACAAAATGTTGAACCAGCCTGCAAAATAAATAAATAAATAAATTTAAGGATGACATAAATTTAACTGACAAATTTCATTACCCACGAGTAGTCCATCCAACAAATATATATATATATATATATATATATAACAGAATAGACTTACCTTAAAAAATGTGAAAAGCCGAGTTTTAGTGTCACCATATAAACTAGGGTTTACCTGATGAATGAGGAGACGTGGAAAATTATAAGCAACAAGAAGTGCTATATAAAACAAGATATTTTCTAGCAAACTTTATAATACTATTGTTAAAAATAATAATAATAATAATAACAACGGAGATGTCCAAAAATACCGATCAGAGGTCTAGCTAAAATCAGATAAGAGGTCTTACATTCAATAGGAAAAGAAACTAAAGAGGCTTACTCACCGTCCACCCAACTTTTATGCTATCTGATCCGCTTTGGATTGTCATTTGAGCTGAACTGAACTGCGACCCACTAACACTTGGCTGGTATACACTGAACATTCCACCACCTCCGTTGTACCTCTTCACTGGATCATATTTTGTTTGAATGATGGCTTTCTGGATAATTTACAATACAGTTAAGAAATGAATAATCGTATCGTGCCCTAAATCGTGGCATTCGTGTAATTGTAGGTGATGTTTTCAAATTTTTGAAATTTAAATTTTTTGTGAGAGAAAAACACTGTAACAGAATCAAGAACCATGATCTTAAATCGGGCAGAACCCTTGAAACAAACGTCACCGTAATTGACATAGCTTGATTAGCAATACAAGCTAGAAAAGAGAGCATATGTTGTGCTGAAACAAGAAATATTATCATCAAGATGAAGAATGTGATAGAAGGAAAAGAAAAATGCTTACATGAAGGCCTGGCCATTCATTAGTAAGGGGATTGAATCTTGAAGCATATGTTTCTGCAAATAACTTGGCTCTGATGAGATCTTCTTTAGTAGTTCTCCGAATAGGAACTGTTCCAATTGGACAACCTTCACCTTTTAGTCCTATTTCTAATGGTTCGCCAGCCTCTGCGGCTTTCTTCTCAATCATCCTCTTATTGGGAGAAATAGGTCTCATCTGCTCCATAAACCAAACTCATATATATATATATATATATATATATGTATTAATTTAGGGTCCGTTTAGTTCGTTCATTCGAGTTTTTAATTCGAGTTGAGATGTGATTTTATGTGAGAGCTTTTTATTGTATTAAAAAAGTTAGATGTAACTGTTTGTGAGAATTCAATCATCCTCTTATTGGGAGAAATAGGTCTCATCTGCTCCATAAACCAAACTCATATATATATATATATATATATATATGTATTAATTTAGGGTCCGTTTAGTTCGTTCATTCGAGTTTTTAATTCGAGTTGAGATGTGATTTTATGTGAGAGCTTTTTATTGTATTAAAAAAGTTAGATGTAACTGTTTGTGAGAATTTTTTACTGTAACAAAACTTGAATCAGCGAAATGAACGGGGCCTCGTCCATGTCATGATATAACATTCCATATGATACAAGCGCTAATCAATTTCCAAGGAAAGGAAAAAAAAAAAAAAAAAAAAACCTCACCTCATAATGATAAGTGTGGTTTTTCAGCAATGGATGATCAAAAGCGGGCTGTTTGTAGAAATCAATACAATCGTAGATATCTTCACTTTCAGTCTACACATACAAAGAAAGTTTTGTCAGTATGATTGAAAGAATTCTACTTTAATTTTGAAGACAATAAATTGTATATATCAAAACCAATAAAATTAAAGAAGCAACGAGAAAAGAAAATTAGCTATCGAAGGAAAATGCGCAACATTAAGGATCTGTGAATTTGACATTAAGCGGCCTTTGTGATATGTTAGTGACAGAATAACACAAAAGCACTGTCAGGTCAAATTTAAAAGACATCTCAAAACAGGAAAAAAAAAGGATAGTTATTTAGTAACTATATCAAAGTTACTTATCTATTAAAAAAACTATATCAAAGTTCCTTGCAACCATCTAGTACAAAGTTTTACATAATAATTTGATTTTCGAAGCATAAGCAATATATATAACAGTCTAATTATTAATTATCTTAAGAATATTTCTCCAAAAAGAAATAATCTGAGACTGCAAAAAAAAAAAAAAAATAGAAATCTGAAGAAGAGATAAATAGATGAAAAGATTTACTTTTATAGTTTTGAGTGGTGGCTTATTCAAAAGCTTAAGTTGCTTCTCAATTTCCAAATCTTCCTTCCTTGATAATTTCCTGTGGCCTCCTTCAACTTTTCCACAATAACAAAGGCAACACAGTAGAATTGTGAAAGATAGGACTCCCTTGATTGCCATGGGATGTGATGAACTGTGGCAGAATTATAGGAAAAGTATTTAATGGAAAAATATTAACAAATTAATAGAAGAAACAAAAGACAAAAAAAAAAAAAAAAAAAAAAACTTAAATAGTTTCATAGACTCACATAAGTTTATCGATCTGTTATGCAATAAATACACCTATATGTACAGTGACGAAGCCATGAATTTTCGTCAAGGGGGCTATACGCCAAAACTTTTAAATCGCTGGGCTATATTTTTGGTTTTGGAGAGTATTGAGTTTTGGGAATTTTTTTTTTTGTTTTAAGAATGCTTTTGTATAAAATGATGTTTTTCAATGAGTTTTTATAGAGAATGAAATCAAGTTTTTTATGGGGATTAGTATGAAACAAAGAACAGAATACTACAAAAATACGAATGTATACGATTCACACATCTGCAACAACTTACAACCGCAAAGAACCTTAAGAGACTAGCAAGGAATGAAGAGTTTGGAACAGTGTTTTCTTCTATTATGGATCAAAAGAAGACATTATTTAAAACAAGAAAAAAAAAACTATAAAGTTTGAAAACTCAAATAAAAACAATCTGACAAGAGTTTAGGATGACACGAGAGAGAGAGAGAGAGAGAGAGAGAGAGAGAGAGAGAGAGAGAGAGAGAGAGAGAGAGAGAGAGAGAGAGAGAGAGAGAGAGCAAATACCTAGTAGACTGATATGTCATGAGATACGGTTATGATAGAAACCATGCTCGCATATATATATATATATATATGGATGTATGTACGTTCGTATGTATGTATGTACGTATGTATATAGTGGCCACTTATATGGTGCATATATGGTATCACATAATTCGTGGTAGTAAATTAATGTTGGATACCAATAATTCAAAATCTTGCAAGCACAGAAAAATTTTCATAAATGCTAATTATACATATTTGCTTCCTATAGCAAACCTTATTTTGGAAACTACACTAACTTATTCCCTTATGTTCGTTTTCCTACTTCTTTTATCGGTCAATGGTTATCTGTTTCTCATTTTTAATTTTTTTCATCAATTTCGTATTCATTCAAATCTTAATCAAATATCAATTTGGATACACATAAATGTTATACACACATATACACACTAGTTAGCCGCGTGTGTTTGAAAAAAAAAATGCAAAGAATATAAGCATATGCAACAGCAGATCAGAAAGAATAGAAAGAGAGATATATAATAAAACAGAATTATTCTACATTAATATATCTGTAATAAAAAAAATGTATAGGTTCATAGTATATATATATTAATAGATTAGTAATAAAGAACAAACTTAGAGGACTGTTCTTATATGCATGGATCAAAAGAAGAAATAGAAAAACATTAAAATCCTTATACATAGAGAAAAATAAACTCGTTTTCAATCACGATCACGAAAATACAAACGGAAAAATTGGGAAGAAATTAAATAAAAAATAAAAACCTTATATTAATGCGTTATTAGAGATGTTTGGCAGTAAAAGGCATGCATAACTACGGTCTCGTTCATTTCACCGATTCGAGTTTTCAGTTCTAAGTTTCTACAGTAAAAAGCTCTCAGAAAATGTCACATCTAACTTTTTTTACTACAGTAAAAAGCTCTCTGAAAATGTCACATCTTAGCTCGAATTGAAAACTCTAATCTACGAAGTGAACGAGGCCGATATCGCATGCTACTCCAAAAAAAAAAAGCTACATATATCGCACTTAGTGACGTCAGTTGACCATGCATGTGGTCGTGTAGAATGTAGATATGGCAACTTCAAAATCATGCATGGCAACTTCAAAATGATTTCATAAATGCAATTAAATTATGCACAAGTATATATATCCCATGTAGTGACGTCAGTTGATAATGCATGCGGTGGTGTAGATATGATATTACATATATTACGGAAGGAAAAAAAAATTACATATACTTAATTACTTCTACATTTGATACTTGCTAGTTGTTACCGTTGCAAAATCATGCATGGCAACTTTATCTTGAAAGAAAAAAAAAAAGGGCAACTTCAAAATAATGTCATAAACGTAATTAAATTTTCTTTGTACTAATGTGGAAAAATGTAAATAATTTCATCCTTTCCATGCAGGCTCCTCCTTGTCTCTTCATTATTATTTCCATCTCTTTTTTTTTTTTTTTTTTGCCCTTTTTGTGTTCTTTCTTTTTGGAGGTAAAATTTTATTTGACTAAAAAGTTTTATAGATACTAATAATAATACAAATAATCTTTTAGTACACATTACACAATATAAAAGAGAAAAAAAACAGATACTTTTTAAAAATATATAAATTAAAATTTTTACTATTTTATTCTTGGTTTATAACTTTTTTAGTAACGCACCGTTGACATTCCCTAATTCCGAATATTGCGTGTGAGGAATCAATGCTGGTATTGAAGGGGCTCTCTCCAGTTTACAGCTGGAAAACCTTTTCATTTCCTCCAAAAGTCGCATCAGCACAAAGGAAATTAGGGCAATGAATGGACATAGCGCGCGGATGCACGGGCAGTGAATGGGGCGCGCCACAGCGGATTGGACAAGCTCCTGAGTTGCTGCTGACACAGCCTCGAACACCCCGGCTAAGGCGCTTGGACAGCACGCGCGTGGGAGGCTTGTGATGGTGCGATCGGACGGCTCTGATCGTGTGTTTAGCTAATTTCCTCCGTGTGCCCATGGTGATACAATAAACCCGAATATTCTAATTACTTTTTGACTCATATTCGTATCCACATTTAGATGTTTGGTTGGAAGATTCAAATCATGATTTAAATCATGGTTCATGATTTAAATCATGGTTCATGATTTATTATAGTATTTTCTCTTATAAAAATACACGTAAATTAAAAATAATTCTAATCACATAATTCTAATCTATAAACTAAACGTCAATTATGTCCAATTTTTCTCCTTTCGCCTAATTTAAACACAAATGTGGATTAACAAAATTATTAGTTATTAAAGTAAACTAAAATAAAATAAAATAAATTGAAACTAAAACAAATAACATGGAACTAAATTAAAAATCAAATAAAAAAATAAAAGTCTTGAGAACAAAACTAATTTAGACACAAATAAGAGGGAATTTAACTCTATTTATAGAGTTATTACACCCCCTAACTTACCTTTTTACTTGTCCTTGAGCAAAAACAAAAAAAAGAAACGAAAAACACACAAGAGAAAAATTGTATTAACATGGTGATTCCCAAAAATTTTCCTAAAAAATTGCCTAAAATCTGTAGCTTGAAGGAAAAACACAAACGTTAACTAAGCAATGTAGGTAATCCTAGAGCGTGTCCCATTTAATGGATTGTTGTGGTTGTGTTCTTACTCTTTCC